AGTGCTTAATGGAAAATCTGATAATTCCAGTAATTCAAAGGTAAGATTATTCTTAGTGCCATCTCAGACGAAAAAAGGTGTACGATGCTTTTTACAAGTAGGAAGAAAACTCACAAAACAGCTTTGTACTGAATGAATCGGCCGTTGAGATGCAACCGCACTCAAAATGTCACACTACAAAAGTTCTCTCTCATTTCAGTCCCCCTTCACCAATATCAAAATGCTCCGCCAAATTCTCAATACCATCATCGGTCACCACGACGCTGGACCACAAACAGAGTTCAACTATTTTGATTCTCCATGATCCGAGCGTCAATCGCCACGACAATCGCCACGACACTCGCGACGTCAGTCTCCTCGAAAAGAGCAGAATCCTTTTAGTGTTTATAATTCTATTTGTTATACAATTATGGCTAATCGAATCAGACCTTCGTTGAGTCTACAATTGAGACGTAAGTTGCACTGTTTCTGCTTTGGTTAACTTTCGATGTCCATTTTTAGATCCGACTCATCGTCACCGTTCAAGTAGTCTGTGAACCTTTCATTCCAAATACTCGAGCCAGCTGACCATGTGTTACAAAACAGCAATCGGAAAAAAGTCAATTCCACATAGCAAGATCATGCTTTGCTCATGCATAATCTTAAGATCATCTGTCTAACACATCGATGCGGAATCCGAGACAAACAGCGTCATCCGAAGGAAGAGAACCACCAACGAGAATTAGAAAGGAACGATCGTCTAAAAATGGACAACCGGAGACTGTTTTCAAAACGCCTACACAAGATATGTCCACCAGCTTCATTGTTTGCGACTTCCCATACTGAAAATCCTACAGTGTCAGCCACATCGACGCCAGGAAATTTTTTCTCGTAGGGAGTGTCTAGTGGTAGAGTTTCACTATTCGATGGAAGTACAGGAACATCGCTTTCAGAAGCTGAGCTCCAAGTGTCTCCACACTTGGGTCTGGTTTCTGCTCTATTTGTGGAGATTATTGGGGAGAGCGACGTGGAGATCGATGTGGCGACTTTTGTGGCAAGTGGCAGTTTGATCGTGGAGAATTTAAATAGTTGGAACTCTGTTTGTGGTCCAGCGTGGTCGTGAGCTTGTCCAAAATATTGAGAGGGTTCCAACGAGAAATTACGAATTCGCACCGATGATGAGTTTTTGATGATGTTTCAGCTAAGAACAGCAGGTGTGAAAAGGTGCACACTACTCTTATTGGATGACTGTGTTGAGAATTAGGCGTTGCCTTCGGAGACGGTGTTGGAGAAGGAGAACTGAAACGAGAGAGGATTGTTGTAGTGTGACATTTTGAGTGCAGTTGCATCTTAACGACCGTTTCATTGAATACGAAGCTGTAGGCGCTTGAGGAATGTTCAACGAATGAATGTTGGCTCATATGGCTCATGTGGATGATTGAAATATGCAGCTTTCTCGAGGTAAGCAATTATTTAAAGCTAACAACTTCTGGAGCAAAGTGCAAAGTACAGACTCTTCTAGTGCAATTTCACGATAATTATTTATTATGAAACAGTGGGAAAGATAAATTGTTTCTCTTGGTAATTATTGGATTTTAGGGCAGCGAACCAGGTTGTGGAAGAGGTTCTGAAATTGCATTTTTGAGAAAAAGGGGGATTGAATCTTGTTATCTTTTGAAATGTATCAAGAGCTTTGATTAAGGTCAAAATTTTGAGAAATACTATGCAATCCGTCTCCAAATCCGTGAAATTCCTAAAATTCGTAAACGTAAAATCACATCCCTGTAACTCCCACTTCGTTCCGAGACCAGCTCATGAAAAACGAGACGACGTTGAGCATAGTAGAGAAAATGACCATACCGACATACACATATAACTGATTTTTCAACTCGTTTAAATCACCTCTATTTCGAAAAAGACAGTTGGCCATTATGTTGCCGTTTGGACCGTCACAAGTCATGTAGGCGCATTTTCACAGAACTCATCCTTAACCTCATTGAAATCCAACCACCCACGTTTTCTTCTCCTAGATTTCTTATTTGAATTTTTGGAATGTTTCTCAGAATCTCCTCCACATTTCTTTGTTGCTGTACCGGCACTACATAGACTTCGCAACGTGCTGCCCATTCGACACTAATCCTGGTACGCTCCAAATTAGCCATCATCGTTTTTTCGCGTTATTCGTGCCGTGGAGGATGCTAGGTCGATATTTGCAATATTGCCACTGGAAAACGAGGAGTAGAGTATAGTTACGAAATTTTCAAAATCAATAAAAATGAGACCAAACCCTTCCAACAGTGATGATTTTCCAACTTAGCTCTGTATACGCAGCATATAGATTTTTATTGAATTCAAAAAGTTTCTGAAATTTTCAATAGGGTCAAAAGCTTTTAAAAATGTCGAAAAGTCTACGTAGAACCCTAGCGGCGATACGTTGCTTCGTGATCCTAGAAACCCTTTTGGAATCGTTAAATCTGACAAAGTATGCAGCTTTAAAACGCGGCCCCAGATCTTGTTAGTTTCATTAATTAGAATGTTTTCGAATTTTTCTAAATTCCCCACGCCTTGATCCCTTATGATCACTCACATGTGCTTGCGTAAATCTCTTCGGTAGATTCATGTAGTGGAGCCATCTTGACCAATTCGTGACATTTGGGAGAGATATGCTAGAGAAGTGCATGGATTTCTGGAAATAATATTAGGTTGAACAGAAAGTTTCTTTCTTTTTTGGCAATATTTTTGACCAAATTTTTCTTAAAGCTAAAAGGGACTAGATCAATGGAAGTAGTGTCCATGAGCATCGATAGCTGCCTGGTAACGCTTCGGTAATTTCCTGATCTCATAGGCCTAGAACGAGGAGGGCCGCAATTTAAAACGTGGGTCAACTCCTTTTTTATATCATCTTTTCACTTGAAATATTTTCTATCAAGATGGCGTTTAAGAGCCCCAAACGACTATTGATCCGAAAGGGTAAGATTTGGAAAACACGGTGAATACAAAATAATAGTGCAGCCAAGCGACTTTAATTTTTGGCTGATCCCTCTTGTCACGGGGATCTCGCACTGGCGTGGTGGAAGTGAAACTTGGGTATTACTTCTTCTTCCGGTTCGACTGTCAGAATCAACTTCTTTCATTAGGAACTATACAATGCGGCGGTTTTAATCGTACTTTAATCTAACAATTACCAGTCACCATTTTTTGGACAGACCATCAAATTTATAGCATACCCGTTTTCACGTGAAATTTTGGTTTCGGAACGTCTAAAGCTAGCTATTCGTAATCAATTAACTGACTCTTTTGCACATAGTTAGAGTACCTTACCCAATTCTTATCTACGGTAATTAGATTTCTCGCTCAACTGAACGTATGAAGAAATGATAAGAGAAACATGGTCATGTCCAAAAGGAAATCCATGTCGTATTCCTTCAAAATATGGGATAAGAATCGACCCAGTTCTTGAAGTTGCCAAGAGACTTCAATCCGTTTACAATACTTGGTTAACTAATGGACAATGCCTTTGACGTTTTACAAGTGGTTTGAAATAGATCCGCCTTCACGACTTTCAACAACGGATCCAAATGCAACTTACTGGGTCGTTGGCATCTTTCAAACTGAACTCTCCCGGGTGGAATTTTTCGAACTCAACAAAAATTGTAAGCAATGACGGAACATTTTCTTTATATAGATCTACCATTTGTTTGCGAATACCAGGTGTTTGACGACGAAATAAAATTATAAATAAAATCATTGCGCATATGTGCAGTGTAATAAGAACCAAAATAATCGTCATTACTCAAGCACGAAGTGATATAAAAATTTACAAATCTACGATCTAATAGACGCTGAACACAGCTCTCTGACAAAAAAATGTTTGACCTGGTAAACCATCTAGAAAACCAGAAATCGAGGCTCAAAAACAACCCTTCCAAAAAGAAAGAAGCTTTCTGTTCAACCTAATATTTTCTCTTCATTTCAAAATTAGCGTTTCGAATCTTTAAAAATGTGCCTGAGAGTTTGTGAAATTTAAAAAAACACGACCTTGAAATTTGGGTATATTTATTTCTTGAAGAATCCCAAGTCAAAAGCTGGTTAACTATGTTTCGTCAATTTTTAAAAATACAGTTCTAACCTTGTCCCGGCTAGAGAAGAAAATAATTGTCTGGTTAGCCATTCCTCCAACTGCCACACATGAGCTATCCGGTGACCGCAGGGAGAACGAGAGCAAGGTTACTCTTTTTTTTAATAGTTTTTGGTTGATCATTGTCTCGAATCGTCTTTAAGAAAATTAACCAGCATTCTGAAACCCAAATCATGAATAATGTACGACAGTTTGTCACTTACTTCTTCACCATTTGTAGTCTTAATCATCGGGTATAGAAATATTCAGAAAAATATTTGAAACTTGCAGGCTCCTACACACGGAGCCTTGGGAGAATGAGTTTAGTGTGCAGCTGACCACCTTTTATACTTCTAGATTTTCTCTGTAACCTCTCCTCAGTCATACAAACGTGTTGCTTCTGTGACGGGTACGGAGCAGTACGACCTGGCACTTATGTACATCTTTTTTGGAGTTAGATTTCAAACTCCACCCATTTAATAATTTAATCTACTTTGGTGGTCCTTAAATTCCAAATTGGAGATTTCTCGAGGCACCATAATGAAAGGTGTTCGCTTCTAAATCCGGTCCCCACCAATTTCATATTTCGATATCCTCTTTTCGTGTATTCATATTTCAATTTTACACATTTTGGAAGGCGGTCCATTTGTAACGCTAATTAGTTCTATCCCTCACACCATCCCCCTTATTATCTCCCCTTGGGACTCTAATAGCTAGTTGCGTCTCAAACTTCTTCAAGGGTCCCATTCGTGACATATGTGGAGTTTACCAAACATGATACATAGACTTCTAGTACTGCGAGATTTTGGATTAATCTCTGATATAATTGAAAATGTTGGCACAGTTTTGTGTAAAATTACCAAGTAGAATATTAGCGATGGACAATAAACGAACAACGATTACTGTAACATTCTACCATTTAGTGGGAAAAACATCCAGATGCTTTTGTTGATATACTATCTGAAGTTGAATTTCTTAAAAAATACAGGAACCATCACAGATCCAATAAAACTTGAATAATGAACTTCCACAAATCACCAAAAAGTGTTTATTTTTCAGAAAGTCGAACATCAACCAGAAGCATCGCAGCGCCATCTTCTTTGACTTTATTATGTCAAGTGGAACAATTCATCTGAACTCATGCCTCCATTTTATTCATATTTTTCTTCTCTGGAAGCAGCTAGATCAAGGTCAGTTTTCTCTTTGATCTAAAATCATTATAATGAACAGTCTAGATGTATGTTGGCTCACGAATGACAACCATCTTCTCTGTTTGTTGCGGTGAAAAATGATCATTATTTTTCAAAACATGATTCAGACTTCAATATGTAGTTCTTCACAAATATTACGTAACGAAACTTGAAAAAGATTCAGATTCATTAATGACAAGAAAAAAGTGAGTTTTTTCGGTGGTACAATTTCACTATTTGATGCATGCTTGAGTTGCCAGTGTTGAAGAGGTACCTGAAAAAGTTGGAGATTTTTTCAACTCAAACGTGGGGGGACATGAAAAAATTCCCAAATTCCGTTTAAATAAGCCCTTCGAGAATTCGAATTTGTGAATCCAAAGATGAAAGTGCCGCGCAGCTACCATACGGTAGCGCAAGCTGAGGCAGCTGAAAAATGAGAAAGCGCTTTGTGAACACTGAACACTGTACTGCACCACTTCAGAATGCACACCCAACTCATTCAAGGTTATCAAAATTCATTGCATATCATTTTTGTATAT